GGCGGGGGGGGGGGGGGAAAACACTACTGTTATAATGTTGAGGCTGGGAGTGCAGCAGAAGTTCACCATTAATATTTATTTAAAAATCAGCAGGAAAGAAGTTGGTAACTCTGGGGGTAGCTGGCCCCCATTGTGGTGGTCAACATTGATAGAAATGCCAAATGTCGTCAACATTCCCCGACAGCTTAACCCGGCTTAAATCTCTTGCGCCGTTTTCTCCTGGTTGATCTTCCGTACGCCCAAGAAATTACAACGCCCCGAGACAGTTGACCAAAATCCTTTTCAGGGACATTCGTCGTCTGCGTATCCACCGTATTGCTACGGTGCTTCCCGACTCAACCGCATGAATGATCACAACAAAAAATAGAGCGCGCGCTGATTACGAATAACGCAACGGAATCTAACGTCAATTTCCGGAATTTATCTGAAATTGACTTTGAACTCGTGCGAAGTGCAGCTTTCCTAGATTGTTAAATCCCCGGTGTCGAAGTGAATTTTTTACGCTGTGATGCCACGGATATACCGTTATGAAAAGTCGGCAAAGAATTCAAGCAGTGGTAATCTTTTCCGAACAATTATTACTAGAATACTGTATGGTGTGACGATGTGACAATTCTAAATCGTGTGCCATGTCGTCTGGCACTCCGCAAAATTACGTGCAGATGCTGCTTTTCAAGGACCGATTGAAAACGTTTGATGGTGTGCCATGGCCGAAAGAGCACCCTTCACCACAGAAGGTAGTGTATCTAAATTTTCAATGGATTGTGAGAATGGGAAACCGTCACTATCCCCGCGCGACAAAAGCCCGGGACACGAAAGCCCCGCGCGACAATAGCCCTGACACGAAATCCCCGCCATGCCCGCGCACAGCTGTAACGAAAGCCCCGAACTTTTTTTCAGAACTGGTAGTCTTGGTAGTCAGTTTGGTAGTCGCCGCTGGTTAAACTTCATNCCTGACACGAAATCCCCGCCATGCCCGCGCACAGCTGTAACGAAAGCCCCGAACTTTTTTTCAGAACTGGTAGTCTTGGTAGTCAGTTTGGTAGTCGCCGCTGGTTAAACTTCATTACTTTGCTACTGATTGAGGGAAGTACACCAGCTCTTAGATTTTTTTTAAACAATAACAAATTGAAACAAAACAAATAACATAAGATTGCAAAAAATTTAAAGAAAAAAAGAAAAAAACGGGAAAAGTGTTCATTTACACTAATAGCGATTCCAGGCTTCACTGAAATTGTTTGTCGTGCCAAGATCATTGAGCACAGCCTGATGAATGTTCCACTTCTGTGGCAAAAATGTTGGGGTTATCTGGTGAAAACAACTGGGGCAATTTTTCTGGGCGCTTGACTTGATGGCTCTCCAACTGGATCAGCTGACTTTCTTCTGCAGATTCTTTGTCCACAAACGTAATTGATGTCAAAATACTAGAAAATTAGTGTATATTACTAAAATTATTTCAGATGTTTATATCGTCCCCTTCAATAGTGAAACTTGGCAACTCTCAATCATCAAGTTGCTAATTTATTGCTAGAAATATTTTAGTTTCTCCCTGAATACTGTTGTATAATACTGCTTTGCAAAGGGATTTTGCAAAATCCGAAAATTACCTTGGAATGTCATCGCCATCAATTGCAAATCTGGCAGAGTCATACCCTCGATACTCAAGCCTTCGCAATCTTTTTATGAGAAAATCTGTAGAGAAAAAAATGCGCTTCTTACGGGTTGGAAAGAAAAATCCCACCATTTGGTTACTAATTCGCTGCCTGATCAAGACGCTGCATCAGTTGCTGCAACGCTGAAGAAATTTGACGAAGATGGTGTCATGACTACCAAGACTACCAGTCCTGAAAAAAAGTTTGGGGCTTTCGTTACAGCTGTGCGCGGGCATGGCGGGGATTTCGTGTCAGGGCTATTGTCGCGCGGGGCTTTCGTGTCCCGGGCTTTCGTCGCGCGGGGACCCCGTTACAAACCCCAAAAAAAAGGATTCATCAAAATTTCACCTTTGAGAATCAATCCAGGGATAATCTCGAAATTGATTCCGGTTTGCTCACTGATTTCTTCTATATTCTCAGCACCAGCAACATAAATTGATTCTTCTTTCGATGAGTCGACGAGGAAAACGTAATCAGCATCTTCTTTAAAAGCAACAGCTTCATTTCCGGGTAAAGTCCAAGGCGTTGTTGTCCAAACAATCGCAAAGATGGCCTTGTTTCCAAATTTTGCAACCAAAGTTTCCGGGGCAATTCGTACTCGGAAGTATAACGAGTTGCTGACGTGTTCGTTATTATACTCAAGCTCTGCTTCCGCCAAAGCAGTTCTAACAATTTGAAAATAAGTTTGTTCAAACATAAGTGAAAGAAAAAAAACTTTGAACTGACCTTGAGACAGGAGACCAATGAACCGGTTTAAAATCTCTAAAAATAAAACCCTTTTCAAAAAGGCTAGTAAAAATTTCCAGCTCCTTCTTGACATATTCAGAAGAAAAGGATAAGTAAGGCTTGTCCCAATTTGCCATTATTCCCCAACTTTTGAAACCTTCCTTCTGTTTCTTAACAGTTTCCTCGGCAAATCTTCTCGCTGAAACCATGAATAACAATAAAAATATCAACGAATTAAAAATAATTCCGAAGTGGGACTGTTTACCAATTTGTCTAATTTTCACAGGATCCAAATCACGACTTCCGCGATCCCCCAAAGCTTTCAGCTCAATAGGCAACCCGTGGCAATCCCAACCAGGAACAAAGCGGACTTTGTTCCCTTTGACCAACTGACGACGCAATTCCACATCTTTCAATACCTAGAACATTTCCCGTTGTTTTCGAGAAACACTTGATAAATCGCATTTTTACAGCTAACCTTGTTCACAACGTGGCCCATATGCAAATCACCATTTGCATAGGGTGGGCCATCATGCAATACGAATTCCGGTCGTTCTAGCTGCTTTTGCCAATCGTACAGTTGGCTAAATCCGGATTTCTGAAATCACATTCCCACAAGACTGAAAAGATTGTTACAGTAATTTATAAAACGGGTTTCGAAATGATGATAGAAAATATTGAAGAAGTGCCTTCCCACAGGAACGAATCAGAAAAGCATCAACGAATGTAAAGGCCAACAGGAATCATCAACAGAAGCTTCGAAATAGAAAAAAAAATTTTCTAAATGCTCATGCTGACGTCGATTTTTGATTCGGATAACAGACTCCGTTAAATTTGATAATTTGTGGAAAATGAACTTACTATGGCAAATGTGGCTGACGGTTCAAATTCTTGGAGTAACACGAAATTATTGCATCCAGTGGTGTTAAAATTTCCTAATTTTTTAAACATTTTTTGCATTTTTCTTGTTCAAGAAATGAACCTCGTCACATACGATCTTTGTAATTAAGCTTTAAGTTTTTGACAACATATTCAGTCCGTTAAACGAGGCACCCCCGTAATCCTTGCAGATTTTAGTAGTCTCAATTTGTCCTTGAAAAATACACAAGTGATTAGCTGCACCAATACTGTACTGTTCTTTAAACAGCTTGAGCTAA